GGGCGACTGAAATTGCTAATGAAGCACGGGATTTAAATATACCTCGCTTGATTAGCATATTCCTGTCCGGTCGCCATTTTGGAAACTGACTAACTGCCCACATCAACACGCGGCAGAGAAGCGGGATTCTGAAGTAAACCCCTTAGTTCGAATTAACTGTTAAACCTTATTCCATGAGGAGTAATAGTTAATTTGAACTAAGGGTTTATCTTGGAATCCCGCTTCTCTGCCGCGTGTAGATGCGGGCAGTTACTTCGGGATAGTCAGTCTCCAAAATGGCGACCGTCCGGGAATATGCTAATCAAGTACGGGATATTTAAATCCCGTGCTTCATTAGCAATTTCAGTCGCCCTCATTAGCCTCCCTAGTTCGAACTAGGGGGCTAGTGTAGACGTACCCTTTGAATTGTATACATTGAATAAATACATTGATTTATTATTTAAGTTTTAATTTATTTTAAAGAAGGGAAGGTGTGAAGTAATTACAGAGTTCCTGGTCTCCTACACATACCAGCTAGTACCACTATAAGTTGCAGCAGGGAGTTTAATAAACTAGGGAAATTCCTATTCAGGGAATTCTATAGTTGTTACTTAAAGCATAACTCCTTGTGTTTGTCTTCATGCTACAGAATGTGTAGCTAAAAAGCAGCATAGCAAGTCTATCCCTGCTAATTTGTAACTCAGGATTTGGGAATTATAAACAGTTTCCTGCAAATGTCTGGACTCTGTTTGTTTAAAGAACTACGCACGCTTCATAGGATGATAAATTCCATCCTTTGGAGGAGGGTATTTGAAGAAAAGTCCACAAAGGAAACAGACTAGATTAATAACAAATTTCTTTTTGGAGAGGGCTTCTGCTTGGACAACCCTTTTCATGAATCATTTTAGCAGCCTATGCAATGGATGCCCTGAATCAGCCCAATTACTATGCGGAATAAACCAGTTTAGGAAATGGTGAGCCTTTAAACTCTAACAGTGAGTGGGAGGACCACCCCTGAGGGAAGCAGAAACAGATCAGGCACATGCTGATTTTTAACAGATAAAACCTAGTTTTAAACTACAGTTTTGTCCAGTTATGTATTTTGCTTCTGTGAGCTATAGTCCCAGACTAAACCCATCTGGCAATCTGAAGGTATAAACTTGAGTCATTCCGGCTTGTTGTTGGATAAAGAGTGAAGTGCCATGAGGATGATGGAGGGGGGATCAGGGAGTAAATAGTGATGCTGGTTTCTAAACCCTGGAGTTACGCCAGGGAGGAAAATGTAGACTGCTTCATCATTTTGTTAACTTGAATCCAGCCACTTAGCAGAGCCCTTAGGAATGACAAAGATTTCTGACAGATATTATTTTGAGGCAAAGACACTGTTGAGATATATTATTAGATGTAATTTTGTTGTAGTCTCTTTGTTGGACTTTAATTGTACTGTAAATATGTGTAACATTATTGCACATCTGCCAGAATTTACATCTGAAAGCCTTTGTAGTGATCTTGACTGGGGCTGATGTTACAAGGAGGAGGGAGAAAAATTGTTCTCCTTGGCCTCTGAAGATAGAACAAGAAGCAACGGACTTAAATTGCAGCAAGGGAGGTTTAGGTTGGACAAGAGGAAAAACTTGCTAATTGTCAGGGTGGATGAACACTGGAATAAATTGCCTAGGAAGGTTGTGGAATCTCCATTACTGAAGATATTCAAGAGCAGGTTAGGTAAACATCTATCAGGGATGATCTAGATGGTGCTTGGTCCCACTGTGAGGGCAGGGGACTGGACTTGATGATCTCACAAAGTCCCTTTCATTCCTAGTATTCTATGATTCTATGGTTCTTAGGTGGCTGTGCGGTAGATAGAGAAGATAGTCATTTTACTACCATGCCATAATTGTGGGTTCTGTGCTCCACCAACAATGTTCTTGGGAGGGAGTGACCCCAAACCCATGGATCCACAGAATAACCAGATGCGGTGGCCTGTCTTGTGAAAGGCTCTGGCCCATTAGCTCTCTTCCTGTATGAACCCCAATTGAGAACAGGTTAGTTGATAAGTGTTGCAGAAAAGTTAGCTCTTGTGGCTGATCCTAGAAGAGAGAGGAAAGATTCAAGATGAAAGGCCTTTATGCCCCTCCAGCCTGCTTTATTCAGGGGAATGGCTTTGTAAGTGTTAGTTTGTGAGTTTTGTATTTGAAAAAAAAAGCAAATATGATTCTGGGATGCATTAACAGAAGTCCTTCTTCCACTCTACTCTGTGCTGATTAGGCCTCAATTGGGCTATGTCTAGACTGCAGGCTTCTTTCAAAAGAGGCTCTTTCGAAAGCATCTTTCAAAAGAGCCTCTTTCGAAAGATCGCGTCTAGACTGCAGGCGGATCTTTCGAAAGAGCAATCCGCTTTTTCGAAAGAGAGCACCCAGCGAGTCTGGATGCTCTCTTTCGAGGAAGCCCTATTTACATTGAAGAACGCCTTCTTTCGAAAGAGGAACTTTCGAAAGAAGGCGTTCTTCCTCGTGAAACGAGGTTTACCACCATCGAAAGAAAAGCCACGTTCTTTCGAAATAATTTTGAAAGAACGCGGCTTGAGTCTGGACGCAGGGGAAGTTTTTTCGGGAAAAGGCTACTTTTCCCGAAAAAACCCCTGAGTCTGGACACAGCCTTGGAGTATTGTGTCCAGTTTTGGGCACTACATTTCAATGAAGATGTGGAGAAATTGGGCAAGGTCCAGAGAAGAGCAACAAGAATGACTATAAAGAGAGTATGTGCTGTGAGGGAAGACTGAAAGACTTGGGCTTGTTTAATTTGGAAAGAAGAAGCTGGAGAGGGGACATGATAGAGGTTTTCAAGTATAGGCAGTCCCCGGGTTACATGGATCCGACTTACATCGGATCCCTACTTACAAACGGGGTGAGGCAACCCCACACTAGCTGCTTCCCCCCAGCAGACCAGGGAGACGCGGAGCGGCTTTTCTCAGCAGACACCTCAGCTTGAGAATAAAGGACTGAGGGAAGTGAGGTGTGGGAGAATAAAACTGAGCTCTGGAGAAATGTTTGGCTAGAATTTCCCCTACAATATGTACCAGTTCCGACTTACATACAAATTCAACTTAAGAACAAACCGACAGTCCCTATCTTGTACGTAACCCGGGGACTGCCTGTACTAGAACATAAGACATTTCTCTCAGTATGGGCACAAGAAATTAGAGGATTTTTTTGTTTTACATTCAGGTGGTCTTGCACTTGCATAATGGTTGTCTGAGGTTGCAAATAGTTAATTTGAGTTTGTATTCAAATTCCAATTATGGTTTTTAATGGGGATGTTAGATATTGTTTAATTTAATATTTAAGAGCAGATTAGATAGACACTTCCAGTTCTAGTGTCCTATGATTCTATGAACAATATAATTGTGCCCTGAAGGAAAGCCTGAATACACTTTCAAGGGTAGCATTAGGCTCTTCCTTTGATGGGGAGATAGACCAGCAGTCCAGTCCTCCCACATCACCCAGCTGAACTAGAAACATATTGTATTCTCCCTAGCACAACTGGGTTCTTCCAGGGAGCATTTCTGCCTTTTTGGAGCAGAATGTCCCTGTGATCCCTGTAACTATGTAGTACAGCACTGCTTGTCACCCCAGGCTTTGATTAAATGGCCCTATCTATTTTAGCCCACAATTTGCAGTTCTTTTGTGCATGCAGTTATCCACTTTGTACCTGCAAGTATGTGTTTTTACTTGCCATCTTAAAGATGTACATTGATGAATATTGACTTTCAAATAACCTGACTCAAAACTTATTTGACTAGATACATTTGTAGTGAATTGAGATAGAAACAAAAGTGATGACTACTCTATAAAAATTGCCAGCATTCATGACATGAAGCACTACCATATTTCAGTATGGGTACATCTACACTTGCTCCCTAGTTCGAACTACGGATGCAAATGTAGCTCGCCAGCTGATTCGAACCAGGGGTGCGCTCAAAAAATGAGGAGTAACGTTAGTTCGAACCAAGGGGTTTAATTCGAACTAACATGTCCCGGAGCGCACTTCCTGGTTCGAATCAGCTGGGGAGCGGAATAGCGCGCAGGCAAGATTATGCTAAAGAAGCATGAAATATTTAAATCCCTGCTTCATTAGCAATTTCGGTTGGCTACATTTGCATCCATAGTTCAAACTAGGGAGCAAGTGTAGACGTACCCTATGTGAAATACAAGGAACCAGCAAGCTGAAATGTTGTCAAAAGCTATTTTGTAACTTTTTTATATTACCTTCCATAAATAAATGCCAGAATGTGCAGCTGAGACAACTCTAGGAATTACACTAGCTTGGCATAAGACAGGGATTTTTTTTTGCCTTGGCTAATTGAAAGGGCACATTAGATATTTTTGTACAAATAAGTTATCAAGCATCTGGATATATTTGATGATGAAGTATTAACCTCATTCTCAGGAGTGAAAAAAAATTGCTCTCAGCTTTTAAAAGGAGTGTATTTCCTGGGGGGTGAAAGGGCATGCGGAAGCAATATCTTTGATCACTGTTAGGTGCAGTACTTTGTGAACTTCTACAATGAAAATCTGTGAACATGTAGCTAAATCATTTAGGTTTTTTGTTCTCAGAGATGAACATGACATGGTGGATATGGGTCACCTCCGCTGGTTCAAACAGTGATTTCATAATAATTATTGCATGCTGCCAAACAAGTTCCTTAACAATTGCCACCTCTTTTATTTAGTACAATTTGTATATGTATAAAGTGAGTTCCAAAACATATTTTGTTTTCCATAATCCATAAATGAATAGGTGGCTTTTTGCTTTTTTAAGTTTTTTGTTTGATCCTTGCTTATATAAAATACTATACAGAAGTTTTAATTTACTGCTTTTTAAAATAAAAGCTGTTGATATAACATCTGCTCACTGTACATTGGAAAAAATAATATTTAACCTCCCTCTATTCTCTTTTGTTATTTCCCTTCCTTTCTGTTTGTTCTCCAAACTGCTGCTTTCACCTCTGCTTCAACCAGCTTGACTTCCAGGTCAGTACCTTCTGCTCTCTTCTCTTACATCACTCCCTGCTCAGCTAAGCTTGATCTTCTCACTAATATAATACATTTCTTAAATTGTTTTTCTCTTACAGTTTATTTTTCATCATTTTCATTGTGCATTCAGAATTTGTTTTTTCATATGGGAATTTTATTGTTGGAAATTATTGGGAGGTTACCAATTATGTTTCCAGATCAATCATCATTTTCTAACGCATGATGTAACATGATAGGGCTAAAAAAATGTCATACATTTCCTGCAGAACAAAAGTTCTGGCAGTAGTAGGGCAGCTATATTAACATTGTAACTTAAGCCATTTTATTTTAATAAATCATAATATTCTGAAAAAAATCAAGGAAAAAATGGCTTAACACATATTCAATCCACATGTTTTTTGTGAAGATCTTTTTCTTTTTTCTTTATTTTTATTGTTAAGGAAATAGCATGCAAAAATACTGATAATCAAAGACTTACTCTTCTTGCTGATCATGTTGTGAATTATTATAAACATAACAAAGCAAGTATGAGCATCAGAATAAATTACTCTGCAGATATGACCACTAGATCAAACACTGCAATCTATTTTCAGCACTGAATGTCAGCTGAACTAAATTCAAGCCTAATCCCAAAGCAGGTGCGCAAATGAAGTGTTAATTTGTATTCTGGTCATAAGTAATTCCCTACATAGCCTCTTTCTCATTTATCTTGCTGAAATTATCCTTGCTGAAACTGGTGCTAGTGCATTATTCTTGAATAATGTGTGTAGTTGCAACGGTGCCATTTCATGGGATCAAGGAATATACATATAATCCAATATGCAGTCCAATCTTGGCATATTATTCCAAGACTCCTGTTATAGGATGGTCCTCTGGAGCAGCCTTTCTATGGATTTCTTTTACTGAGAACTAGAATGAAGTTGCACAACTTTAACCCTGCCCTCCTGCAGTTATGCCTCAATTTTCCAATGTCCCACTTTCGTAAAAGGATGAAGTCCAGTCTAGCAGAGAAAAATATTAAGAATGGCTGAATCAACCTTCAGTCTTATTGCCAGATTAACTCAAAATTTCTTAAAGGTTATGTTTGTTTCACTCTCCCATCAAGAACAAGACATTTTCATTTCCATGTCCCTAAATCCAGTCCCATGACTTTTCATGAAGGTCAGGGCACATTAATATACCAGCTTTCCAGTCTTTCTCCTGGTTCCTTTTCCTGTTCAAATTGTGCAGAGCTCTGATTATTTTTCATGTGGTGCTATGCAGTGAATATTGTATAGCAGTGTTTCTCAACCTTTTTTTTTATAAAGTACCCCTTAAAAAAATAAATTATAAGTACCCCCAGTACCTACAGTTTTCAGACACACAATTTTTTTCTACCATTGCAACACATTTGTTTAAACAACTTAATCATAGCCAGGTGGGTGATGAAATTTTTGGGTATAAAAATTACAAAAATAAAGCATTGTAAAACTTAAAACAAAAATTAAGTTTTCTCCAAATTTCAGTTGTTGGTGTACCTGACAGATTTCTCTCAAATACCCCGAAGCATACTCATACCACTGATTGAGAAACACTGTTGTGTCGCATTGCCAAACCCTAGTGCAGTGCAAGAATTAGAATGAGAAATGAGTTCCGGTCTTGAAGAGAGAATAATGAAGATCTGTTGCATTCATGGTTCTTTAGTAAGAAAGTAGGAGAGTATCTCTTTCTAAACTAGAAATATTTATTGTTATATGGACCTAGATTTAGGACTAGGCTTTGAGTTTTGCATAGCTGGTTTTAAGGGGTGGAATAAATTGTAGCTGGGTCTGGCATGACCAGAGCAAATGTATATTTATATGCCATGTAGGTCAGAATGGAAAGGGGACATTAGAGACTTGTATTGGATGGGAGTGAGGAAGTCAAGGTGAAGTTAAATCCAATAATCTATTGCAAAAAAGGTAAATTACAGTAGTTGGCTTTGATAGAGAATCTTTACTCCACAGATATGAGTACACTTTACAAAGAATGGTAGGTCTCATTATCCCCACTTTTTAGATAGGGAAACACACACAGAAAGGTGAAGTGACTTGCCAAGGTCATACTGATTGTTGGAGGGAGGAAGATTGATCAGTAAATCATAACTTAAACCAAACATGCATTAAAAATAGTGAGAACTTATTAGCAAACTACATTAATATGTACCTTCATCATAATAGTTTCTAAAGCTTTCAAGAGTAGAGGTGAACAGAAAATTATTTTGAACTGAGGTATCAAAAAATGTTTCTGCTCAGAATCAGGATGAGAAGTCTAAATCTTGAAAATGTTTGTGCACTCAGTATCTGAAAAGAAACCCATGTTCAGGTCATTTGAAACATTTCATTTAGATGATTTTGAAATATTTGGTTTGATAAGGACCATTTTTAATTTAGACATTTTTTAACTATAATTAGCTTAGATTTCAAAATGAAAAATTGTTGTGAACTGAAACCTGGAATTTTTAATTTGAAGAATTTAGAAACTTTTTTAAAAAAACGAATTGATAAATTCATTGGAAAAAGACCCATTTCTGTGAAGTAAATGGACATTTTCCAAAGAAAAACATCTTATCAAAAAATTCCCAACCAGCTCTAGGCAACAGTAATGAAAGAAATAAGTAACAGACTTTTTTAAAAAAACATCCATTACTATACTCCAAGAAAATAATATTTATTTATATCAACCAATGAATCAAACTAACAGGGACTTTAGAAACAAGCATTCTGGTGTTTGGTCTTTATTGTTATTAACAACACACAATAGATATTTAATAAAAAAATATTTTTAATTACTTATAGGTGAAGTTTAAGAAAATGCTTAGATGGAAATTGGCTCTGTGTGTCATGGTGCTGAGATCCAGAAAGAATTTTTACTATACTTCTCCAGATGATTTAGCCTCTTTTCAGATGCCTATTTAAGACAGATGAGGTCATGGTGATTGTACTGCAGATGGTTTTTATAACCCTCTCAAAGGAATTCTTTAGCTTCTCTCTCAAAAGTTCAGTTAGAGGTGCTTTGAAATCAAATTCTTTTTTAAATTCAGGTAGATATGCAGTTACCTTATTGTATCACATTTACAGACAACTAAATCAGTATTTCCCAAAGGGTATGTCTACACTACAAAGTTAGTTTGAACTAATGGACGTTAGTTCGAACTAACTTTCATAGGCGCTACACTAGCACTCCGTTAGTTCGAATTTAATTTGAACTAACGGAGCGCTTAGTTCAAACTAGGTAATCCTCATTCCACGAGGATTAAGCCTAGTTCGAACTAGCTAGTTCGAATTAAGGGATGTGTAGCCCCTTAATTCGAACTAGTGGGAGGCTAGCCCTCTCCAGGTTTCCCTGGTGGCCACTCTGGCCAACACCAGGGAAACTCTTCTGCCCCCCTCCTGGCCCCCGACCCCTTAAAGGGGCACGGGCTGGCTACGGTGCCCGTGCCAGGTGCAAGCCTGCCAGCATCCAGTCAGCAGAGCCTTCACCTGGCATGGATCGAGACACCCACCCGATGCCCCCCAGCCCTCCCCCTCTTCCCGGGACCAGGCTGGCGGCTCCCGGGAGCTTGCCTGGGACCACAAGAGGCGGGCACCCGCCTGGGCTAGTGCGGACATCGTGGACCTCGTC